CTGACGCCACTTTTGCTCGTTTGGAAAATAAAGTTTGGTTTGAAAATTCAGCCGAATGCGTGGGGAAATTATCTGATTCTTTATCATAAAACAAATGAAGAAGCCTCGACTGTGCTCTGTTCTGTTGTAAACCACTTAGGAAGCGGTAGAGCACTCAAGAAGTAGGGAAAAACACTCGACTACGTCTCGTGTTTTCCCCTACACTTCTTTCGTGCTCTACCGCTTCCTGCGTGCTTTACAACAGAACATAGCACAGTCGGGGCTTCTTTATTTGTTAAGTACATGATGTATTTAACTCTTTACTTTTTTATCAGGTACGGAACAATGCGAGAGAATGTTATGAATTTGGAAGTGGTTCTGGCAGATGGAAGGGTCATCAATACAGCTGGGGAAGGACGTCGGACAAGGTACTGTCAATCATTGGTCTGCAATAAGTGGTAAGGGCAGAGGTTATCTAGATCTGTTCGAATGCCCCCTCTGCAGGGTGTATTGCTTGGCTTAATTCATCCTAACTTGAAGTAAGGTAGCCAGCTATAGAGTGAAGCATTCAACACTTTCTTGGAAGTTGAGAGTATTATCTGCATGGCAGATCGCATGTGATTATGATCAAATCTCACTTTAATACATGTATGTAATTCCCTTAAAATTTGATTTTGCAAGCATTTTATGTATTGACTTAACTTTAATAACAAGAATAAAAGGCATTTAAAGATGCACTGTCACAGTGATGGCAGGTTTAGTCTGTCTGCCAGATATACATTATTTAGCAATTTAATAGTCAGAGATTATATAAAGAAATTGTTATTGATAAATAAAATATATATCTTTTCTTTTTCACAGAAAGACGTCGGCAGGATACAACTTGACAAACCTGTTTGTTGGTTCAGAGGGTACTTTGGGAATTATTACGAAGGTGACCCTGAGGCTGTATGGGATACCAGAATCGGTAATGATGTTAATTTATGATACTGTATTTCATTGTTACTTTTCTTATGAAGAGACAATTCGCAGTTGAATGCCGCTATCTCGAGCTGGGAAACAAAAAATATTTAGGATGTTGTGGGGTTCAAGATAGTAGATAGAAGATAGAAAGTGACTGAAAAAAATATTTCCAAGGAAAAATGATTTGAGATCAATACAGCAGGGAGTTTGAGATAACTGATTTTGAGTTAGCATCAGGTACTAAGTACTGTTATAACAATTTACATGCAATTGTGCATGTAAGGTTTGACATATTTTGTCAAAATCTTCTTGCCTCCAATAACTGAAAATGAGACAGCAAACAATATGATCTAGAAAAGAAAAGAATATATTTTTTTTGTACAATTTAGTATTTACAGTCTACATTTGATTGTTAAATCTCAACTGCAGACAGCATCTGGAGTGTCTTCATTTTCTGACGTGAAGTCTGCTGTTGATGCTGTGGTAGAAATTCTACAGAGCGGCATTCCGATGGCTCGTATTGGTAGGTTAATAGTAATGATTTAATATTGAAGTAGATCAATAAATAATTGAAGAAATATTAATATATTTTTAAAAATAATTTCATATAATCTAGTGGCTGAAAAGAGTGTTGATGATCACAAAATAGTAATCTTCTTATTGGCTGCTTGAAATAGAAAATCACAAGTTATATTACCCCTTTTATTTTCCATACTTGGACCACTTCATTAAACACTGTTTGGAATGTTTTGGACCAAGTATAAGTAATTCATGTTATTGTCTTGTAGAGTTTCTAGATGATGTGCAGATTGATGCTTGTAACAAGTTTTCAGGGTTGAACTACCCCGTAACTCCTACCCTGTTCTTGGAGTTTCAAGGATCTGAAAATGGAGTCAAGGAACAAGCCTCTATTGCAGGTCAGATGAGGGCCAATAATGACTTCAGGCTTAGTAGACAATAACGGTGCACTTTTAAGCCTACATCAAGTTCTCAGTATAAATGTGTGCAAAACTGTAATGTTAGTTTACTTCATTTTTAGGGGAGATCATCGAAAGCAATGGTGGTTCTAAATTTCAGTGGGCCACTGAACTGGAGGAACGAAACAAATTGTGGAAAGCGAGACATAACGCTTGGTATGCTGACATGGCTCTTAGACCTGGTTGTAAGGTAATGTACAAGTTATTTTATGGTGTACAGGGTTTCTACTGTACAATATCGCTGTACATTTGTACTGTTATTTGGACAGTATTCGCTGCAGTTGGATAATAAATATCGCTATATAACATACGTCCTATGTCACTTATACACACATATATTTTTTTGTGTGTTCTTTGCTTAGGGAGTATCAACAGACGTCTGTGTTCCAATCTCGAGGCTGCCTGAAATAATTGTGGAAACAAAGGAAGACATCATAACTTCCAACTTAATTGGTTAGTAAAGAAATATAAAGTCGTTTTGATACGTTGTTCCAGGAGATAAATACACGTATTGCAAGTAAGCAATTGTACCAGTCGTGAAGTTAGAGTACATGCAAGAAAACACTTAATTTATGTACTCAAATCAACTCGTCAATCACAAGTTTCCTTTCATCAAGGCCTTGGCAATACTCTCTCTTTTTTTGCAGTTATTCCTTGATTCAATGCTTTGAAAAACAAAAGTTGGAATGCGGAAACTGGCCACAGCGCGCGAGGATTATGATTAAGGTGGCCCAAGATATTCAGCTGTGATTAAGTTTCCACTCTAGCTAGCCGTAGTGTCATCTACTAGATATCGTTTCTGTTTTTTCTTCCCGGCGATGGCGTTTAGCGCAGAAAAATAACGATCGACGGGTTAGAAGCAAAGATGGTTTAGGCACTCGCCAAACACTAAATGCAACAGACGGAGACCCAAGATTGAATCTATCTGGACCTAACTGTGATGACACAGACCGTGACAGAATAATTCCTACAGAAAACAGACAGTCCAGCAGGAAAGACTAAATAACGATTACAAAACTGCAAAAACTCCAAATGAGCGGGTTAAAATCTAGGAACTAAGATATCGTAGTCCGCATCCCGTAAAACAATGTAGTCTAAACCCTTGAGGTTTTGCGAGTTTCTTAATTCTCTTAATTCTAGTGTTTAAGGCCTCTCCACACTACGCCGGAGGAATTTGAAAACGGAAGTTTCACTCTGAAAACGCATCAAATGTTTTCCGTCCACACTACGCCAGAGGAATTTGAAAATGCAACAATTACCAGTCATTTTGGATTTGTGTTTGAGGAAAACTCGGTCAGGGAAGTCAAATAATTATTGTGACGTTATCGTTTTCGAAAAGCTCCGTTTTCAAAACGTTTTCCGCCCACACAAAAAGCCGGCGTTTTCAAATTTCTCCGGTTTGAAGAGCGTTTTCGAAAAGCTCCGTTTTCGTGACGGATTGGTGTGGACGGTAGGCCTAACCGTAGAAATAAAGCTGCGTTTTCAAATTTTTTCCTGGTGTTTAATATTACTTGCACTCGTTCATTTCCAGCCCCTATTGTTGGGCACGTGGGTGATGGGAACTTCCATTGTTTTATTCCCATAAAACCGGACGACGAGGAAGAACTCCGGAATGCAAAGGAATTCACCCTGAGATTAGGAAGGTAAGAATCACGGTCGATTAATTAGCTCTTTATTCTTTTTTGGTTCAGCCCCAATTGTGGGGCATGTAGGAGATGGAAATTTCCACTGCGTGCTTCCTCTTGATTTGGAATGCGAAGAGGAATTAAAGAGAGCAAAAGAATTTGTAGACAGACTATCCAGGTAGGTTCATCTCTTTATAATCAAGGAACTAGTTTCTAGCCAAATGGCCGTTGCTCAGCTCAATTTTCTTAGTTGATTGCTGAACGCGAGAAAAGAGTGAGCCATGAAGCATCAATCACCACCCACTAATTAGATCAAAACAGCGAATTTTTCGAGCACTCATCCTTTCTATTAAACCATTAGATTACGAGTTTGAGATTTTCATGGCGTGATAGTTGACGAACTTGACGAGGGCGCAGCGCAAGTCAACTATCACCCGTAGAAATCAAGAGCGAATAATCTAAAAATCTACTAGTCGTTCAAAACTTTATCTGAATCTTCGTCACAGACATTTCGAAAATACAAAGAAGCGGCCGCCATTTTGTAAAGAACCGTACACTGCTACGCTACTCACTATTTATCACAGAATAGATAGTGAGCAGCGTAGTCAGTAAGAGAACGGCAATCGTGATAGAACTCTCGTGCAAGAATAGACCAGCGAACAATGGCGCCGAGTCAAGGCCATGATCGACAAAAGACGAGAACTGTACAAAAACGTCCACCCAAACCTCACTATGGTGCTGTTGTTGGTACGCACTGAAGTGCTACGTCTATAGACGTGGCTGCGTGAAACAGTCTGTCGTGACCTGGTTTCTCTCACGGTAATATCACGTAATTAAAGCACGCCAGATAGACTGGATTAGCATACCGACCCTGTAATGACTATTATCAATTCAATGTGTTTTTCTTTTCTCTCTCTCTCTCTCAACCCAGACGTGCCTTGGCCATGGGAGGTACCTGTACTGGAGAGCATGGGATAGGGTGTGGCAAGCAAGCCCTGTTACCAGAGGAGATCGGCCCAACTGGAGTTCAAGTGATGAAAGAAATAAAAAACTTGTTGGACCCTAACGGGATCCTGAACCCTGGAAAAGTATTTTTGTAGAGAAAAAACAACTTTGTTGTAAAAATCAAGGTCTGGGGCCCGTTTCTGGAAAGCCAGAGAAACTTCTTGATTTGTCCTTCGGTTGTATTCTGTTTTTTTTTTTATTGGGACTAAGGTCAGAACGCTTCTACGTTAAAATTAGCAGTAAAAATCGTATAGAAATAAAGAAATTAGGCTTTTGCTAATTTTTAATCCTACTTCAGCCTATTCTAGTTGTCCTATCTGCTTCCAGAGAACGAAGCCTGTTCTCTGGTTCTCGCTTTAGATTGGAAAGTAAGTTGAATGCTGTTTTTATCACATTTTGGTCGCATAACGCGCGCTGTGATTGGTTGTGCCTTCTTTTTGCATGACGTTATGTGACACGGGTATGACGTATCATTGCATTTGACTGGCTTTTTATTTTATAAATGGAGAATGTCGCTTTTTGTTAGTTCACAAATCCCGGTTGGTGGCAAATACCCTACAAAGATTTGGAAATTTGAAAGTGCTTTATATTGATACCGTATGTAAACCGTCGCTGGGGTCATTTCATGAAGAGTTTTAACTCTTTAGCTTACATGTCTGAATAACTCATATAAGATGTATACTTACAAATCTCCTTGATTTGAATTGAAATGTCTTGTAAAGACTTTGCTGTCGTGAAACGCCTGTAGCGCTGGTCAGTGGTTAAAATTAACTGTATATGATAATATAATTCAAATCTAAAGATTTTTTATACCAAGAATATAGCATGCACTACTTCCGCAAATAAGCCGTCATGCCTTAGAGACAGATCTTATGATTTTAGGTAGAAAGTAAATTATCTAGATTCTGTAAAGTAGATTGAGAACTTCAGGCGTGTACTAGACGTGTATGAATCATCAACATTAATGATCCTAATAGCAAATAGGTGAAGATAATTAAATTTCTAATTCGATCCTGTATGCTTTACAAAGATATATTTTCCCAGTGCATAATCATACACTTTCAGTAGAATTGGGAAACAAACAGGAAAATCTTGTAGAAAGTCAAAATTAATAAATATGAATGAGTTTTGGGAAACCCGGCACGGCGGTCTGGTTGTAACATACCCTGCTGGCAGAGCCGGCTCTGCTAGTAGGGTAGTTGTAACAAGATCAATACGAAAGAGAACTTTTATAGCCTGCAAGCAGGCTCACGTTTCTTGAGGTCTCATCACCCGACTCGATCCTCCTCGCCAGATTGCTTTGCTCGGAGACTTGCACTCTTCGCCCCTCATGCTTAAGTCGAAGGTGAGCCTGCTCGCATGCCAGGCTAGGGTACATTCTGTTAATAAAGCCACCCAAAAAGGGGTTTCGCTTCCCGCCCGATAACCCTGGCCAATGTTTTGAAAATGTTTGTAACTACAAAATCTTCAAAACACGTTCTTGAGTTTAACACTGGGCTCTGGTTTGTTACAGTATAATTACTTGCTATCAATCATAAGAGAGGATTTTACCTCTGACAGTGAGTCTGACGAGCTGGCGGTTTGCCAAGACAGAGCGCCAACACCATAAACGAGCGCAAAACGCGAGGGCGTTCGCGGAAAAGGAAACGAAACGAGACAACAAAATCGACCAAGTTGAAAACCCAGTTACTGATCTAGCTACAGAGAAAATCGATGGCGTTTATTCAGACGGGTTTACGTGTTTATCGATGACTTTACATGTACAGCAGTGACGCCTGAAAACTCGCGTTCTTCGAAGGCTATCAACCGATAGACTGCTAAGAAGCCAATCAGATTGATAGTTAGCGGGGCAAAGCGCGAAACGCGATACACAAACGCGAAGCGCGATTTTTTTGGACACGCGCTTTGCGCTCCACATTTGTGTATCGCGCTTCACAGTCTGCTCTTTCCAAATATAATTTCTGACGACCTAGGGACAAATTAGTCAAAAAATAAAATTCCGACGGCACGATGGAGAGGCTTGAGGGGTGTCATGGGACGTTAGCTTCTGTTATAACATGGTAAAATGCTCTACCTTATTGATGCTGTACCCTTTCCTCGAGTCTCGTGCTACCGCATTAAACGAGGAATACGTTTCCACCAACTAAAGGGTGGCTTTTTAGCTATAGTGTTTTCGTATCTGGCGTAGCACAAGTTCTAATTGTTGGAACCTGACAAAGATACAGAGTATATTATAAGGTGGAATACATCTGCATCAGATGACTGACTGACGCATCCTCAATAAACTATTCAGACTCTATTCACATTGAATGTCTCGTGTTAGTGCACTCAGAATTCCACCTGTTCTGCTGGCTAGTCAGTCTGTAGAGCGCTCTCCCATGACGTCTGGGCAGCCAAATTGGTGTTCGGATAAAATAAATGTTTTCCAGCGTGAGGAACTTCTTTTCAAATAAAAAGGTCAGTTTTTCCCTATTGCCTGGGAACATAGTCTGAATTTCAGCCGTCTCTTCCCTTTACCCCGCGGGTTCCGTAATAATTTGCGAGGTGTTTTACAGGGAAGGGTTAGTGGCCCTTCGCCCAACCCTCAACACGGAGGGTCAGTTGCTGTAGTTCGTCCGACCTTTCACCTGGAACCTGCTTAGCAAGGTTGAACCTACCAGGGACTGCAGTCCCAGCTGGTATAGCTTCCAGGGTCACTAAGGCACGCAAACCTCCCCACCACGTTAAGGTGCGGTCTTATGCGCAACAGAGCGCGAAGAAGATAGGCGAGGTGTTAGGAGCACCAGTATAGCTGCCGTGAAGTTGTTTAAGCTAATTTGTAAGGAATGTGGTTTAATGGCAGTAACACGTACCTGTAGGTAAGGTGGAATTGTGCGAGTTAAACAAAACAAGTTTATTTTGTTGGCTTTACATCTCATTGGCTGACAAGGGCAGCACTTTGTTCTGATTACCTCAACACACTCCAAAGGTTTCATCAGCAAATAAAGGGCAAACAAACACAAAGGGAAGTGTGAACGCGTTTTTACATTCCAGGGTCATGAAAAAGGTCTCTTAACGACTGAATATTAACATATACAATATTACAAACATTTAAACACTGAACACTAACTTCGCTTTCTGCTGACATTATGGCGTTGTCTTATCAGGCGAGTTTAATTTCTACCGAAAACCGTTTGGTCACATCACAACTAGTAATCGCTCAGCAATTGCTATCTGGATAGAAGTGAACGTATGAGCGCTTCCACACTTTGCAGAAATAAGTCTGTGTAGCCTTCTCCTCTGTAAGCTTCACCAAGAAGTTGCATGTCCGCAACAAACAATTGTTCTTTCCCAAGCATTCTGTAGCTCTCCAGAAGGGATTTCATATCATCGATAAAGGTTTGGTTGTACTCGGGTATTTCCGCTGATAAGTGCGCCGAATTCCTGTGTTCCTTTATTATAAATTGAGTAATGGATATTTCTAGAGGGAAAGGAAAGAATATTTGCATTAACATCTCACACCAACAGTAACATTACTTTACACAGTCAGACACCAACCTAAACCCTAACCCCAGCCCTTGCCCTAACACTTATTCGAACACTGACATTAAGGCAGAGGTAGTAAAACAAATGAAAACTTCCGTGGACTACGACAAGCAGGCACAATCCATGTAGTCAGAAAAAGCTGATAAAAGTGCACACCAGCTGCCACAGGGGTTTCATTATGGGCCAGACCTGTGAGGATGATTTTGCCTGCCTGGTTTGACCATCTAGAGGAAAGAGTTTCTCATAAAGGAGTTCTGTTCAAAAACTTTTGTCCACCTGTGAAAACCAGTTGCCCTCCCGTTGAAAACGGTAATGAAACCCCTGAGTTGGTCAATTGGTAACCAAAAAAATAAATAAAATAAATAAATAAACAAATAAATAAGTAAATAATAATAGTAATAATAATAATAATGATAATAATATTAATAATAATAATAATTTTATTATTTTTTTTTTAATAATATTATTATTAACAAAAAAATATAATAATATTAGAAATCTAATCACTTCTTGCAGACTCTCCCTTCGGTCTTACATGTATCTTTGCTTTTGGTATCAGCAATATATATACCAATTCAACAGGCTATTTCACATCCACATCCTCTCATTCTGCAGAACATGCTATTAAATGTCTCATTAAGAGTAACACTACAGGCTTGAGTATCAATACACTCACTCTTTAATAGCCTATCCTTGGCATCTTTGTTTCCCCGCAGAACAGCTCCATACTCTCCTCTTAGCTCATTTATCAAACCCTGGAGTTTACTGTTGAAATCCAGACTTACTGCAAGGGCTGTCGGAGAAATGATAACAAGAGAAAATTCACGAGGCAATTCACTGATCTCTCTGATGCAGCTGCAATCTCGTTAGGTGATGAGACATAATCATTGTAATTACAGGCTGCCGAGTCTCCCATAAATTATCACTATATACAGCCAAGTACACAAATCACATGTAACCGTACAGAACCATTTATTAGTAGAAATGGTACTAAACCTTGCCGCAAGTGGCACCATGTACAATATAGAGGAGATGCTTAACCTTGCTACAAATATGTAATTACAGTGGAACAACCATAATTATGATGTGGGGAATGCACTTTGCCAAGATGTGACATCAGAGTGCCTGCTTTAGTTTTGTACCTGACTGGCCACTTGTGGACAAAAACTTCATTATTCTTACTAATTACATGTAAAGAGCCACCCTTCCTTGAAAAGTGTAGGTCAGGCTGCACAAGTTAATGGATTAATTTGTAACCATTATACAAAGTTTAGCAAAAATTCTGACAAACAGTAACCAGTCTCAACATAGGAGGTCTGGGGGCTAATATTTGTAGTGGTACATGTCAGTGCATCAATTGGATTTCAGATATTAAGTGCTATCTAGATAGGATCATTGTTGTGGTGATCTTGGACCAGGCTTTTAGCCAGATGGCCATCCAGGCACCCTGTGGATGGCCACTTATTATAGAAAATTGTTTTATTTTTCATATGTTGCCCTATAAATTGTTCACTTGAGCAGGCCCTATAGCACATTTTGGATGGTGGCCCACTTTTCAAATTCTGGCTACAAGCCTGTCTTGGACGAGGCACTTGACTACATGTATCTCAATCCAGGAGTACAAGCAGGTACCACTAAAGTGTTCACCTTACTGGGCCAAATTTATATACTGAGTGGGGAGGGAATGGAAGCTGGAACTACTATGGCTTAAGCATTCTATCCAGGTTTAGTCATGCAACTGTAGTATTAACTACTCTTAGTTGCCTCAATCGCTATAGAAACCAAAATAAGCTCTGGAAGTGTGTGCCAGTTTGGCCCAAGCACAGATTTACCTTTTCCAATCAATCAAATCAGCACTCCCATGAAATGATTCAGAGCTGTGCCCTAGAGGCACCTGGGTACCAGAGACAGCTAACTTTAAAATTTACCTTTTGGCAACTGGAAAAACTTACTCTTTTCATATATTAAGTACCAGGATTTCATGCTTAGGAACTTTTGGGCTCCTTGTAATTTTTCTTAGACCACAGCCTTATGATTAGTAAGAGTGGTACATGCATTAATCCAGATAATTACACATGATCTGTAAACTGATGGCTGTACCTGACTTATCAAACCATATGCACTTATTGTCCGGGACATTAGCAACCATGGATCGTGCATCACTTGAGAATTTTCCATTGTATGTTACGTGAGGTAGTCTGCCATTTTCCAATGGGTCATTGTCTCCATTTTTGATCCCATTATAAAGTTTGGCTTTCATTAGACATCCAGGACATGTTTCTACCACAATGCTGATGATGCTCTTGTCAATTCCAAAGTCCCTGTGACCCACTGTGTACTTTTCTTGAATCTGAAATTTTTATGTGATAAATCAAATCAATAATATTGATAAATACATGTAGTTTCATAACGATTTAGTTTATTCTAACTTTTTTTTTTCATTGAATCTCATGCTTTTTATTTACGTGCCACTATCATTGTTAAAACAAAGTACATAATACCAGTGGAAAGTATGCATGCTTATACAATATGCAGCCCAGTTTGTACAACACAAGCTCATCAGTAAGTTGTGACTGTGCAATTTTGCATACAAGACGATACCTCAAACTGGGTAAACATGGAGAAGTTTGATTCATTCTTCAAACTTGTGAGGGGAGTGTAATACAAGCTAACCTTTGATTGAATTGTGGACAATCACTAAACAAATTTGTGAGTGAAAGTAACATTTATGACATCATTAACTATATAAAGCTAATAAAAATACATACATGTACAATCAAACTGCATTAAAATCAGTGTTAACTATATGTAAATTAGATGATTAGTAATGTACCTATCGTTCCAGAAAATATCCATACCTCCCCTACAGAAGGGATTTTTTATAAGAACCCCCCCCCCTCCCCCAACACCCCTCTGGAAATTCCAATTAACCTTCACACAGTTCATTGTTTTTTTTGTCTTACAGAACTTCCCACCCCCAGGAAATTCCGATCCCTTCCAGGGGGGGGGGGGCGGGGGGGGGCAAGAAGTATGGATATTTTCTGGAAGTGTGCAATAAATCAGCTGACAATCAATGGACGTTAAGGTGAATCTGAAGTTATTGAACTTGTTTCTCAACAAAACTGTCAAACAGTCTGAAAGCTAGTATTCAGGACAACCTCTAGTGAAAGGAATAGACAAAAACACCATTTAAAAGAATCGCTCAATTTTTGTTTAGTGTAAAATTTTAAAATTCAGGAACTGCAATAGGTTGCAATGCTTCAGGAAGTCTACATGTTCAAACTAACAGGTGGATCCCTGTTAAATTTAATCACCTGTATATAACAAAAACAAATGCAAAGTAATTAACAAAACAGGATGTACTACTGTTGGTACATCTTTCAGTAATTTTATTAATATAACTAGACTCAATAATAGAAATAAGCTCAGAGAAAACAGAGTCTTCATAAAAAATGCTAACTGCTTGCAGTGCAGCTAGCTAGTCAAAAATATTGAATTTGAAACTCACTAAATTTTCACCCTTGGAACCACACTCCATAAAGTACAAATAACATGCGAAATGAGTACAAAATTAATATCCCACAGTATTTGTATTCTAGGGAACAGGTTTTCACATAAGATGTGGTCCTCTTAGTACTCCTGGGCATGCACAAAAATAAACATGGCTTAAAGTCTGTTTTGGGGGGAACAAAATATCGGATAATAAAACTCTTTTTCACGCATTTTGGTGTGCTGCCTAGTAGNCCCCCCCCCCACCAAAGGCATTTGACACATTGCTGTGCCCACAGGGAGGGGGGAGATTTTGCATTGGTTTCACATAGGGTTACAGGGGGAATATGTACTCATGTTTGAAGATAAGCTTATCATTTGATTGTAAAATGGTAATCCCCTTTAAGCTTATATTTCATTAGTACAACTGGAGAAAGAGTGAAAATGCTCAAGGTGGGTGTTCAAGTGTGTATTTTTATTTCCTGTTAGATTTAAGTTATTAAATCTATAAGTTTATGCGCTAACACTGTCCTATAGATTCAGCACTGAATTTGTACTTACATGATAAGTAAGTAAATAAATAAATTAATAAATACTTTTTCTTTTACCATGTAAATGTAATTCATAGGGATGGGGTGTTTAAACAACTGCTAAAACTGTAAAGTTTGAACACCTTTTTAGCCCAGGGATGGAACAAGCGACGAAAGTTCAAAACTTCAAATGCCCAAGGATTACCTGGGGGAGAGAGAGTTGCTACTTGATAATCACGTCCAAGTTAAGTTCGATTATGATGTAAATGATGTCGTTTTAGTTACTACAAGTTTATAACAAAAATAAACCAAACATCCTCTCAACTTGTTTTTAAATTCTCTATCAACTTAAAAGGGAAGTAGCTATCATAATTATCACAATCCATGAGATAAAAATCTTACCAAGGAGAATGTCTTCTTAGCGTCGTAATGCCCCTCTGAATGTACTTTACTTACAACTGCCTCAAAGTCTTCTACAGGCACTATTATCTTCCCAGTTCTTTTGTAAACAAGTACTTCACGGTTAGCCTCAGAATCGAAGCGTACATCCATGCGTTCAGCCCAGTTTTTAAACTTTTCTCGCCTAGTAACGCCACCTTTTGGTTTCGGGAAACCGGCCGCTTTCAAATCAGGTCCACTCGGCCAAGGACATTGCCACCGTGGGAGGGTGGCTGCGGAGCGCGCGCGAATACAACTGAGAAACAGGTCATAAAGACCCCTCGGTAATGGTCCGGCATGGTTTCTCTGCTTAACGAAGTTCTCACTTCCACTTTCTGCAAAGGTTTCTTCCATTTCTTTCATCAGAAGGGAAACTGCGATAAAAACTTGCGTGTTACGAAGCGACTTTCCGCGTTTCCTGTGCGCACGCATGTTGCATCACGTGACCAAAGTTCCCGGATGTTCATACTCTTAAAGTTGTTGGCTTCGACGGGACAAATGTGCCCAAACAACGCCTGTTTTTTATTCACTGTACAGCTAAGGCAAAAACAAATTTTACTTTTCCCAAGCTGTCACGTCTGAATTCTGTCAATTTTCAGCCAATAAGAACAGATCACAAGAAGTCAGTGGGAAAGAAGGAGTTTACATTCAAAATCTAGACCAGTCAATGTATGTGCGTATTGTAAAGTCATCTAGCTAAAATGCGGAAGGGGGGTGTACATTACCTGAATGGGAAGAGCAGTAAACCTGTCCGAGGTTACAGAAGTCACGCGCAAGTCGCGATCGGTTGACGATCTAACATGTGAGCAAATCGTTCCACTGAACGCTAGCGCTGAGCTCACCTCTCTGAGCACTTAGTATGGATCACCCGGCAGAACTTCACTTGTGTTTCAGATTTAACCTTTCAAATCTGCCCCACGATTTTGCAAGCAAATTTTTACCGATAGGCCTTGCGGTTAATTATTACCGGGTCATCACGAAAGGTCTCAAAGTTAGTCGGCAGCACCTCTTGTTCGTCCTCCCTTCCTAGCCGTCATTAATTTCCGGAAAGGCTTGAACTGAACACAAAGAAACGACTTCGTGAAACGCGCCCCGGAGCTTTTCTGTGAATCAATTAAACTAGATGGAACTAACATGAGTAATCTACACTTTTCATCCAAAGTGGGCTTCTAACCAACCATGCCCGTCTTACCAGGGTAACTCAGTATTCTCGTGAAATCCTCGCGTACGTTTTCAGTGCAGACGAGTCTCTCTTTAGGGCAGCGGGACGAGTCAGAGATATTGCCGGAGTCAGTGCTGGAAAAGCATCGCCGGCGGGAGAACACTCGGCTACTTTTTTGTTGTATGATTCAGATATCCAAATTTCAGGAGTGTTTTGCCCCGGCCCAGCTACTGGACAGACCGATCACGCCAACTTCAACGACAAACTGGACTATCGAGTGTCCCCCTTTCCATGAAAGAGGTTTTCCTCGGTCCACTGAAAAACATTTGTAAGATTCTGTTCGATGGCCTCTTTTAACATCTTAAAAGAAAAAGAAAAAACGTTCTTTAATTCTCCAGGTTTTCGTTTTCAACTGGTGGATCAACTCCTTGGTTCCTTCCCGTTTGCTAAACCGAGGAAATACTGGACAACGTATCGATCGCTATACTTGCTTCGTGAATTGGTCACAATTATATTACACTATGTTGTTTCCTACTTGAGGCAATTGTGAAAGTACTACATTTAAACTAATTTCTAATTTAAAGCCTATTCTCATACGTAAAACTTAAAAGAAAGTGCCCGTTCTTTGGCAAGATCTTGCAGAATAACCGCCCCTACTTGGCGCGTGTTTACGTGTTGCCATTGTAGGCGATTCTGTCATGTTAGGTAACGCCACTTCTTAAAGATTGTGTCACGTTCAGTAAAAAGCCATTATTTAAAACTAACCTGTACATAAATTAAAGTTATGTTTTTCGTTACATTTTGCACTTTTTGACTACCAAGTAATCGCTCGCCTTAGTTCTCTTTTTAAAGCATTCCTGCCGCATTTCATCTGTAGACGCTTGTATCTATGCATGAGAGAATTCAGCTGTTCACATTGAATTAATAGCACGCACTCGCTCCTAACCCATCAACTCCACGGGAGAAAACTACATGATAACACAAGTGATAATTTCACCAAAACAACCAGCACTAGCAGTGCACGAACGCAGAGGTTGATGATAATGCAATCTAAAAAATCCAGAAAAATTCCCACAAGGACTGAAGTACATATTGTCTTTTGCAACTTCTGTACAAGAAGAGTTTTGAAGATCAAAATGGAATAAATTAGCTTGGTAACTAAAATGCGAGTGAAATTAGGGATTTACACCACAACTGACATTTGAAAAGTCTCTCAAAACTGCACCATTTGAAAGAATTTTCAAATATCACGAGTGGAGGAAATTCTCAATCGCTCGCGCTTTCACACGATCACTCACTGTACTGCAGTGCAAATTAAAAATTAACGATAAATTGGCCTGCTCTCAGCCAATCACAGAAAATATAACCTGTTTTTAACATTCGTTGCCCTTGCCTTATAAGTTACAAATGGGCCTTTAAATAAAGAAGTAAACCATGTATATCTTTTTTAAAATAAGGCCCNGTACTGTTTACTGATCATGCTGTACAAGATGGTTCAAACTGAATTTCAAAGACCCTTTCCCTACGAGACAGAGAATCTGCCTAGGGTACTTTTCAATAGTCACAAAGAGCTCCAACTTGTCAGGTGGGTTTCATTGCCGAAAGGTTTTATCGCACTTAAAAACTATAGCCTAATTTTTTCAAGTCAATTAATAGTTCGCAATCCGTCTTGATCTTGACCATTCGCGTACCTTCTAGGTTAAATTTGCCAGCCGCTGTTCGGGAAAAGAGCCCGCAAACCTTCCCTGACGGAACGTAGCCTGGGCACGAGAGAGCGGCGGAAATCAAGCCTGGTGTTTAAAACGATGGTGAACCATTAATTCTTTGGTAGCTCGTAATTTTGTGAAGTCGAAAAAATCTTCCTCCTGCCATCTGTAGTTTCTTTTTCAAAGCATCTATCTGTTCTTTATATCGAATTTCGTTGTGCACTAACTAAGCTAACACTATAACCTACCGTATGTATTTTTTATACACTTACAAGTAATGCATTTTTTTCAAAATTTACCTAAATTGATCACGTTACCTCCGTAACAAAAGCAGACCTAAAGATGTTGGAGATTGGAGATCTTCTATTAGAAACTTCCAGCTAATTTTCAAGAATCTTGGCGAGGCTTGCGCCGCTTTATTCTGTCAATTTCCACTTGAAGTGCCGCATTGCGTTTTCTTTCTTCGTCAAAGTCATTTGTAAGCGTCTCTATCTCGCTTGCGAATTTATCATCCAGTCTCCTTATATCTTCACTGTGTTTCTTATCCATTTTACTGATCATCTCGCGTAGCTCGGCAACCTCTTTTCGTAATTTCTCTACTTCACCTGGTGCTGTGGTAAAAGGTTCTACTTTCTGTACTGGTGGCACCTGGGCCTCATCTCTCAGGGATTTTCGCTTCTCTACCGCGTCGCTTTTGGGCGATAATAACGCAGGCGCCTTAATACAAAAGACAACTGAATCAGTGAGACTGAAAAGGAGCAATGACTGATGACAGCAAGCTTGTTTCATAATTATTATTATTTCACAGAAGGCAAAATGTAATTTCTGACGATTCAGGGACAAATTAGTAAGAAATTATCATTCTGACATCACGATAGAGAGGATTGCGGGGTGTCATGGGATATTTAGGGACTTCGTGTTCGTCCACTTTTGCTTTTGCTATAACAGCTTGTATGCATAATTGTAAATGTTCTACGGTTTTGTACCCTTTCCTTGGGTTCTCGTGCTGCTACATTAGATGATGAATACGGCCACATCTACAGGGTGGTTTTCTAGTGGTTTTTCGTATCTTGTGTAGCACAAATTCTAATTGTTAGAACCAGTTGTTGTATTTTGCAAGGATACAGATTATGCTGTAGGACGGAATACATCTGCATCAGATGACTGACTGACGCATCCTCAATAAATTATTTACACTGAATGTCTCGTGTTAGTGTAATCAGAATTTGAAGGAGAGTAGTGTCAATAAATACATCTTTCTTTCCATCACACACCTTCTCAGGCTCCGTGTGCTGTTTCTTCTCCCGAGCTTCTCTGACTTCCTTTTTCCAGGCTGGCTCTTTTGGTCCTTCTTTAGGACGCCCAGGGGGCACCTTGCTTGGTTCCTTCGAGGCGAACAAGAAGTTTGTACGATAAATGAAGGACTGAAGTAAGACCATCCGTAAGAAAAAGGACGGAGAGATGATACAACAAGGTTCACTTGACAAAAGAGATTATCTATCCTTTTCACAGTACAACATACATTACTATAGCTCTACTGGTGCTCTATCACGAATGCTGTTCTCTGATTGGCAACGCTACTCACTATTTATTCAGCTGTAGATGAGTAGCCTAGCAGTGTGTAGTTGTTGACAAAATGGCGACCGCTTCTTTGCGTTTACGAGTTGAAGTGTCTGTTAACATCATGCATTTAGATAAAGCCTTGAATGACTAGTAGATTTATGCTAAAACGATCTCGATCTCTATGCGCGATAATTGACGTTGGCTGCGCCCTTGTCAACTATCACGCGATAGAAATCTTGAGCTCATAATTTACTTGTTAATTAAAATTAATATTGTTCCAAAACGGAACAAGCTGGATTCATAGCTGGAAAGCTAACNGATTAACAATGTTTTATGTAGTACCTTCTTCAGCACTCTCTGTCTTGATTGTAGGTGGTGTCTCTTTTTCTAACAGCTTGCCATCGACACGGTCCTTCCTATCCTCAGCACTTTTCTTTCCATTAACACTCATATTGTCCTCTGCCGCCTCCACCTTTTTCTCTGGCTTCTTCACCAAACCCTTTGGCTTCTTTTGGGCTGGTAGAGGTTTCTTGGGTGGTAAAACAGGTTTGTGACCTGCCACTGGTGGTTTGGGTCTTCCTGGTGCTGGGAGAGATGGCTCTGGACTTGGCTCTGCAGGGGGTTTCCTAACTTCAGGTCTTGCTGGATGGTGGTGCTCTGGAGTGGCGTCAGAGTCTGATTCATCTTTAGGAGGCAGTGATGGAGCAGGCTTCTTTGCTACTTCTAAACATAAAAAAGAGTGCAATGGTCACAAATGCATAATACAAACTGTACGGGTCCATAAATCAAGAAAACAACTTAGACAAAATTTTATGCCAGCTAAGAAAGTTCTTCAATCTAAAGATTCCATTAAAAGGCGTGGATTGAGCACTATCATGCTTCTGCCCAAAATAAAACTGCCTGAGGGCAGGTACTGTATTAGAAACCTTACCCAGGCTACATGGAGGTGGAAATACTCACTTGGCGATTTTTTTACTTCATTCTTAACAGGTAAAACTGGAACACCTTTCTTGTGAGTTTGAGGAGGAGCAGCAGCAGCCTGTAATAACAAAAATAATGCTACATTTCTTTTTGTTTAGTAACAGTTCAATCATTACAATGCAACAGGAGTTTCATTAAGGGCGCCGGGCACTGCGCAAATTGAATCCTTTTGAATTTTCATTTTGTCTGAAAGCCCATGGTTTGCGGAGAAAAATGGAAATTGACATTTCTCACTCTCAAGATACACCTTAAGAATTCATGTACCTTAAGAGTAGTTAAGCTCATCAACAATCCATGAGCTTAGGGAATGGTGCCTGAAAGGATGATGGAGCCCAAGAACAAACTAAACCAAGCATGTAGGGTATCCATGACAAACCTGCGAGTGGCAACCACCAGGCACCGCCACACTGAAAAAACAGTGGGAACACAGGATACTTACCACATCCTTGCCATGAAGCCAAAGGGGGTAGACTGGACTGAGAGAAAAGCTTAATGAGACCTGTCCAGCAGTGAAAAACACGTGGATCGACTTGACATCTGAAGCCAAGCTGTAAAATTCAGGTGCCCCTGCACAAATCCCCTGGTCACACCATACCCACTCTGAGGGGGACTGCTGGCTAGCAATCATGTTTCACATTTAACTTAGCCTAAATTACATTTAGCCACATGTAAAAAGGTGGGGTCTGCATATGAGCCAAGTGGCCCATCAGGCAGGGCTTATCCCGGTAGCATGAAGCAACTAGGAGTATTTCTACTCCTCCTGGATGCTGGTCCATCCCAGGGTTACCCCCAACATTTAATTCGCCTGTGCCCATTTATACACCTGAGTGGAGAGAGGCACTGTGAGAGTACAGTGTCTTGCCCAAGAACACAATGTCCTTGGCCAGGGCTGGAACCCTGACTGCTCAATCCGGAGTCAAGTGCACTAACCATGAGGCCGCCACGCCTCCCAAGAAAGAATAGGTTCAACTGAAATTTAACGTACATCACCAAGTGTTTGAATCCTTACCACAGGAGTCGACAATTCTTCAGCATTTTGCAGTACTTCAACAAAGTTGGAAGGAAACATGCCAATTTTTCCACCTAGGTCTCCTTTCCACCAGCCTTCCTCTTCCTTGTCGATAACAGTGAGAATATCACCCACTGTTAACTTCAGCTCATCAGGATTTTCAGGTTCATAGTCAAATGTGACTTTGGCACGTTCAATCGGCTTCTTGGCTAAAAGAGCAAAAAATAAAGTTCTAAGATAGTCAAATCGCATTGTGGTATTGTGTAGGTCCAGAAAATATCTATACCTCTCCCACAGAAAGGATTCTTTCTAAGACTCCCCCACCCCTCTGGAAATTCCAATAATGCTTCACACGTTTCTTTAAATTTTTTGGTCTCACAGAACTCCCACCCCCCAGGAAATTCCAGTTCCTTCTGTGGGGGGAGTATGGATATTTTCTGGACCTGCACATTGCATATTAACTGTAACTACATTCAAAATGAAACACACATGTTATAACTGGTCTTTTTAAGTTCCTTATAGTTCGGTAATATGTGTGCCATACAAATTGTCATGGTAGTAGATGAAGTAAATGAGGATCAGAAAGGAAAAATACA